ATATATATATATATATATATATATATATATATATATATATATATATATATATATATATATATATATATATATATATATATATATATGCTAACACTCCCCCTCAAGTTGGAGCATGGAGGTCACAAATGCCCAACTTGGATAATAAGAATGAAAATAAAGGCCTGTTCAGGGCTTTAGTGAATATGTCAGCAATCTGAAGGCGAGTAGGAACATAAGAGGTGACAATTTCACCGCGCTCCACACACTCACGAACAATATGGCAATCAATGTCGATGTGTTTCATGCGCTCATGGAAAACAGGATTAGCAGCAATAAATAAAGCAGATTTGTTGTCACAAAACGAGCGTGGCGTCGTAGGAGGGGTAACGCCAAGCGCCCCAAGAAGACCCCGAATCCAACGAATTTCTGCACACGCATTAGCCATGGATCGATACTCATCCTCCTCCGAGGATCGGGACACTGTGGTTTGCTTCTTGGTTTTCCAGGAGACCGGAGAACCACCGAGGAGAATGAAATAGCCACTTACAGAACGCCGGGTAAGTGGACAAGACGCCCAATCGGAGTCACAATATGCAGATAACTGGAGAGAACTATCACTGCGTAGAAGAATTCCCTGTCCCGGATGACCCTTCAGATAACGAAGAACACGTCGGGAGGTGTCCATGTGATCGAGCCGTGGAGCATGCATAAACTGGGACAGGACATGCACCGAGTAAGAGAGATCCGGCCTGGTAATTGTCAGATAAATCAAGCGACCCACAAGCCGGTGGTACTGAGTCGGGTCAAGCAACTCGGCACTGGTAGAACGACCCAACCCGTGATTTGGGGTGATAGGGGTATTAGCCGGTTTGCATCCCAAAAGACCAGCTTCGTGGAGGATGTCGAGTGCATACTTGCGTTGACAGAAAACGATGCCCGTCGCAGATCGGGCACACTCAATACCCAAAAAATACGACAAGGGCCCCAAATCTTTGAGATGGATGTTGGACATGAGTTCAAACCCCTTTACTACTTCTTCTGGAATATTTTTTTTGTTTTGATGAATGAAAAACAATATGATTAATTTCAAGCTGATCGAAAATTTATTTTCGTATCGAGAAAAGCAAAGAAGGGTATCAAGAAGTTTACAGCGATAAAAAAATCGACAATCACCCCTACGCAGATTTTTTTGAAGTGAAGTGAAGACTCCGAAAACTTTTTAATTTTTATTGAGTCTAGGATTCCTGTAAGGATGACAATAACTTTTGCATAAACAAATTAATTTCTGAGGGATAAAAAATTATTATTTCTTGAGTCAGTTGAAAAATTATTTTTTTCTCTGTCCAAAAATATTTTACTGAGTCAGTTTCAAAATAAGTCTGTCGAAATTTCTTAAAAATATTTTTAAGATTACACAAATTTTTTTTGGTAAGAAAAATATACTTTAAATATTTTTCGTGTACATCTTTTGACACACAAAATAATTTTTTGAACTCACTTTTTCTCCACTATTCAAATTCATTGAATAAGGGTTATCAATGAGCATGCATTGATTCCCGTTGTCTCAAACAATCGTATGAAGCCAAAGGCTTCAATCGCAAATAGGCTTGGGCCCTTTATGTTTGCACGATATTTTGAAATTAATCGATTTTCTCTTCCTCTTTAATCGATTAATAGACTTCTAGTTGGATTCCCAGCATCGCCCAATAATCGATTAATTTTCTTCATTTAATCGATTTGTTAGCACAGATTCACCTAATCGATTATTTTCTTTAGTTTAATCGATTAATTCCTTACCTAATTTCAGGCATTTTCGCCTCTATGTACCTTAATCGATTAATAGTTTCACTTTAATCGATTATTTTTATCTGGTGCATGTTCTGGCTTGCTCCAACGGCTTTATTTTCCTCAGCCTATTTAATCCCTCATTCTCCTTCATTTCTACCACAACTCTTGCACTCCAATATCTTCATTGAGCTATATTCATTTCTTGCTTCCATCTTCCTCATCAAATATATTATTTTGAGAGTTAGAAATATTTTATTGAGTGCTAAAGATTTTGTCATCCATAGAGCTTTAATTCTTCAACACTACTTTGCTCAATTGTGTGAGCTTTCATTCTTGTGTTGTTAAACTCAATCTCATTTGAGTGTTGTTCTAAAGACTTGTGTGACTCAAGTCTTGTTGTTGTAAGAAAGTGAGGCTTGTGTGATTCAAGTTCTCAAGTTGTACCGGTTTTTCAAGCACCCGTTGAAGCTTGAAGATTAG